ATTCTTAAAGTGAGAAAAGAGAATTATCGCAAACAGAAAGAGTAAATGGATATTGGATGTTATAATTCTATTTTATGTTCGGATTAGAATCAAAACAACGAGTGTATAACTGTGTATTTATTTAATTTTACATGGTACCTACCATTTTTTAATTGAAATGTATTGCTATCTTGTAAACCGTTTCTAGTGGTTTTTAAGTTCCACAATCTCCTATTCCAGAACTTCTATACAAGGAAAATTCAACCAACTTAATAAAATAAAATTGACACTACTATAATAAGAAATCTGATCATATTAGGAGACTATTTTTTTAATTTCCTTTTTTTTGTCTACTTTTATAACGCTTACATACTATGTTGTACGCGTAGCATAAAAAAATACTTTTTTCTACACCCACATGGATATTAGCTTATCTATACACAGATTATAAAACGAAAAAGTATGATATTGCCTTCAAGTGAACGATTATATTTCATATCCATTCTAGGTAGTGAGAACACTGCAAACAAATTAAATCCACCAATCACAGTTCATATTTTGATCAACCGACTGCTATTATTTTTAAAATTTTAAATACCAGACTATTCTATCAAACTTATTGTCAGTATATTTTTTAGTTATTGAGATTAAACATATATTAAAATGAGTTATTCTTGTGTAGAATCGATAAATAATAGATTTTATATTTTTATTTCGTCCATAATTAAAATTTGTTAATTTAAATAAAACTATATGAAGTCAATTTAATTAAGAGTATTAAAGCAAAAAAAAAAATAAACGCATAGATGGTCCTGTGGTCACCGTTCTTGTCTTTTATACGGAATACTCGAGTTCGAATCTCAGAGGGAGAAAAATAAAATGAAATATTTTTTTTCTTGTTTATTTTATTTTATAAATTACTAAATGTCCTAAATTATAATATCTTAATAACCTAAAATAATTTTAGATTTAGTGGGTCATAGAAAAAATACTGTACAACTCGAGTGGATTGTCCATATCCACTCTTGTTGCACAAACTACTATTTAGTTTAGAGTATTTTACATTTTTTAAAGGTTGAAAACATTTGTCAATGTCTTTTGAATGTTCATTTCAGGGCAGCAACCAGGCTTAGCAGGTTCACTATTGTGTATTAATATCTGCAGCTAAGCAAGGCAGCGCGCAGTTAGTAGTTGGGTGGATGACTATCCTAAGGAAAGTTGGCGTACCTATAAAGCCCAAACTGCCGCGTGGTTGTATATCACAGTTGCCAATTATTAAATGAATGGGTACGAAGTATAGCGTGTGGTAAGCCATCCTTCGGAGGAGATGTAAGTCAGTCCCGAGTCCATAGATGTTATGATCATTAAAGATCACTACCACTAGTTGATACACCAGAGGTATTTGGGGTAGCATGCTCACCAGCGTCGGTTTTTATACCTTGTACTTAGAAATAGGGCAACGTTAAATAAATTAACGATAATAAATGTTCATTTCAATTTGTTTGATTAAGAAAATGTATAGCACATAATTGCAACAGTAGAGCTAATTGCATTTTGCTAATATCTAAATATTTTAGTCTTCTAAATTTCACTTTCAGCGTTCTGAAAGCATGTTCTATCACAGATATGATAAAATTAGTTTTATTCCATATATTTATAGATACCTACATCAAATGTATCAAAAGACGATATACAGACCTAAAAGATGATGTTCCCCTATAATAGGTTCACATCTTCCACAATCAATTCTTAATTACCGTTGGTATATAAGCCAAAATCAAACTTCAGATATGGTTGAAAATGGCGTATGTTAACATTACAGATATTACTGCCATAGGCGTATCATTAACATGAATGCGGTACAAAAACAAAATAGCGCAGATGAAATTTTTATGATTCAATAGTTAATAATTACGGCAATAAAAAATTCATAAATATATAACAAATAATATGACATATGAAAATATGTTTACCTATCTTTATTATTACTTGCAGTAGTACTGCTGTATATCATAAATAGGATAAAAATCAACTAAAATTCAAATGTCAACAACAGATAAAGTCCTAGATATTTATTTGAAAGAAATCTTCTGTAGTGCTATCTTTCAGACAGACATCTAGAACTATATATGCAGAGTTATTCATATTAGTGTTCCGTAAACAGTTTTTTGCAGGCAAGCCTATACAAAAATTTTCGTAATTAAATTATCTCTCTTCTGATATCAATTTTTATTGGTTGACATATCGGTGTAGTTACCTATATTGACTTACCTGTTTATACCTGCTTACCAGGTAGCCATGAACAGAAATAAGTAAACAAGCCTACCAAGGCATATTCTCCATGTTAAAAAATATGTGTTAAAATTAAATTTGTTCGGTTATTAAAAAAGTGAAGGTTAAAAAAAACTAATTAAAATTTATTTAATTTAAACCATGAACACTTTTCGAATGGCAAGTTCACATAGGCGTGTTAATAAATCAAAAAATATGCCTCACCTGGTTAACAGATGAGTCAATTGACACTAATTCAGTGAAAAGGTATCTTTTTATCTCGCTTTGTTACAAGCGTCCACGTCACGCGCATGCCCACTTACGCACCACTTTAAAACGTTGGAGAAAAAAATGGCCCATCGAAATTGGTGGAGGGTTTAATATTTCCTGTAGGTGGGCACTTATTGCCAAAGGAGCATAACGAAAATGTTAAGAAAATAAGTCGAGTTTTTTAGAGGCACATACCAATTGTAATGCCTATAGCTACCTAACCGTCCCAGTCTGAATGTCGCGCTTTCGTGAATTCGTTGGACATGTATCATAGCACAAATTAACAATAAATTCAGATATAAGAAATAAGTCACAAATCTATACGTTGGCTGTAGGACTATTTATTGATATGCAATCACAAAAATTGAGGGTAAATAATAGTATATTAAAGTATAAGTGGATATAACGGTCTTTAAAACACGCGCGATTTTTCGAGCACGGCGGCGCAGTTGTCCACGAAAGACCAGTTATCCACGAATACTATTTTTTTTTATTGGTATACTTTGAAATCCTAAATATTGGTATTATTTCTACAAAAAAATGGAAATAAGAACTAATAACTGAAAATGGTTGAATTTGTGATGTAACATCAGTATACCTCGTTGTCATGAAAATGATACAAACAAAAATTTATTTTCAATCTGTCACGTAAGATTAATTGTCGCAACAGTTGTTATTGTTTAAAATGAGTTCAGATATTGAGTATTTAAATAATAAAGCAGAATCGCGCTTAATACCACAAAAATCCGAAGCTGTTTATAAAAAAGAATACGATAAATTCAACACGTGAATGGAAGAGCAAATGGTTACACATATAGATGAACGAGTTCTTCTCGCTTATCTCCAGAAAATGTCGGAACAGTATAAAGTATCGACTATGTGGACTATCCCTTCAAAATTACAAAGTATGTTGAGGATAAACAAAGGGGTCGATATAAAATCGTTCGTCAAAGTGCATGCATTCATGAAGGCAATTAGCAAAAATGAGGTAGTCAAGAAGGCATATGTATTCAAGGAAGACGATTTGCGGAAGTTTTTTACAGATGCACCGGACATTACGTATTTTTGAAGGTGGTTGCTATTTGTGGCATCTTTGGCTCTTGTAGAAGATGTGAATTGTGCGATTAAATAAATTTTTTGAAAAATTTCTGAGAAATATTTTATTTGATGTTACATGGCACTCCTGTCAGATCAATATTTATAAAGTTGGCATTTAGACATCACGTTTCTCGGGTGGTTGATGTTGCCATGATAACTTTAAAACACGCGCGTTTTTTTAAAGTTCGTTTTAAACACGCTGAGGCGTACTTTAAATAAGTAAAATAGGGTACCAAAAAAAAATTAATTATATTTGAAAGGAGTTGGATATTATTTGTCCTTGTCCACCGATATGTTTTCAGATATATTGTAGGACTCCATTGTTTAGCTTGGTTTCTTTTTAATTATTCTTAGTAGCTTTAACAGTGACTCCCGCATGTAAGTTACATGCGTCTAGCTTTTCTTCACCTAGTGTTAGAAATTTCAATCTAACCAGGACTGGTACAAGACATGGATAGTGTGTCGCCTTCTTATTGACGGAGCCTGTACAGTGTTGCTTTTTCTGCTGAATTTATGACGACAGAGTCTGGCAAGAAGAGATAGTGTTATCTCAATGATTTGTCGTTTTAAACCCAGTAGGTCTTTAGTGAACTTGGTCGACGATCCCTTAATGAAATCTTTGCTCTGTCTTAATCCTGGATAGCTGTTTCGCCATTCCTGAGAATCTCTTTGCATCCACTGTTTGATTACTCTGTCAGGTCTTCAAGGCAGCCTTCACCTGTCGTGATTTGATTTCTGGTAAGAAAATTGTCTTGCTATCAGAGTAGATGGCAATAGTTTTTGCGTGATACTTGCTGATTTATTATTATTCTTGTATTGTATGGTTATTAGTTCGACCTAGAAAACTGTTACATATTCTTCTTGACAACGATTTCGACTTGGGTCCAAAGATTCCAGCACCGGCTCCTTTCTTGGTCTTTTGGACCGTCTCTACACCAGACGAGTTTAGCCTTTATAGGAAGTCCGTCTTTCCAAGATTCTCGGGCTCGTATTTAATTTTGAAAATATCATTTAAATTTCTATGTGGTTTCGGCTATATCACTAGGAACTCCTAGAATATTTTCCTTTTTTACTTGCTGATATAGCCTCATAAGAAAATCAAAGTATGTGGTATTTGCACATACTTTGATTGTATTCAAAGTATGTGGGTATTTGTAAACATTGACGTTTGTTATTGCGAAGCCAGTGGCAATTTATAAATTTACTAAATAAGTTGTTGATAGTGAACGTTTAAAAAAGCAAGTTTATGCAAAAATGGAAATCACCCGTGAAGGCTTGCGTTGGATGATTTTTTATGTTTTTATAAGAAGCCTTACTCAACATCAATGCATGGAATCGCTTCGTGCAACTTTTGGTAATGAAGCAACATCAGAGAAGACTGTTTATAATTGATGTGCAGAATTTCGTAATGGTCGTGCGTCTGTCAGTGATGAATGTCGAGAAAGTCGATCAAAATCGGTTGTCATTCCGAGAAACATCGATGCTGTGCGCAACATGATTAAAGAAGATCGGTTTGTGACTTACAGACAGATAGAGGCATCTCTTAGGATATCGCAGACTTCAAAACAATCGATTTTGCATGAACATTTAGGTACGAGAAAGACATGTTCCAAATGGATTCCGCATAATTTGACCGAAGCGCAAAAAAGGTCGTGTTGATTGGTGTCAGGAAATTTTGAAAAAATTTGACCGAGAACGTTCAAAATCCGTATACAACATTATTACAGGAGACGAAACTTGGAAATATTCATATGAACCTGAAAGCAAACAACAGTCTACTGTTTGGGTATTTAACGATGAACCCAATCCCACTGAAATTGTTCGTTCACGGAACACTTCCAAGAAAATGATCGCTTGTTTCTTCGGTTGTACTGGACACGTCGCAACCATTCCATTAGAGGATCGAAGAACTGTCAATGCCGAATGGTATACAGCAATTTGTTTGCCAACGGTTTTCGATGAAATAAGGAAAAAAACAAAAATCGTCGCATCATTCTTCATCACGACAATAAAGCACGTCGAACAACTAAATATTTGAAGGAGAAAAACATCGAATTAATGTCTCATTGTCCGTATTCACTCGATTTATCGCCTAATAACTTTTCCTTTTTCTCCCCTGTCAAACAAAAGATACGCGGACAGCGATGTTCATCACCTCAAGAAGCTATTGAAGACTTTCAAAACCATGTTTCTACTATATCAGCTTTAGAGTGGAAAAAATGTATAGACCTTAAAGGCGAATATTTCGAAAAGCAATAAAGTACTTTGTTTGGAACTTGTTCGTTTCTGTTTCACTTTTTGTAAAAACTTAAAAGGCAACCCTCGTATATTCACAATATCGACAAAATCTCTAATCATTCACCACTTGAACAACACAAAAGTAAATCAAAATCAACCCAAATTTTACAATTTTAACGAATAACTAAACCAAAAGCAAAATTGTGTAAAGTACGTTGCGTTGTCTAAACACATTTTTAATCCTCTTGCAGTGGAAAGGTTCGAACACATGAATTTTTAAAGGATTATATTCTAAATTTTTGATCCGAATCAAATAAGTCCCGTTATCCCGTGTTCAAAATTGGGCGGAGATGAAATATTAATGTCGAAATGTATCGATTCTGGAATTGAAAAAAACCAGATTTATTTATTAGCTTGTCATTGACAGACGACGGATTTAGTTCTGTAAATATGTAGAGACGAACTGTACAAAAAAAATGTCGCAGTTGGAATAATGTCTGATCCTTAAATGTTAAGAACTTTATTGATAAATAAAAAAAATTAAATATAAAACCAGAATAATAGGTATGCTGATATAAATATCTCATCCCTTGGCAACTGTGATTGCCAGGTAGTTACAGATTAAAGTGTGCTAAATCTTTACCTTTCATTAAAACTTTTTTTAGGTGCAGTCAAGTTCATTAGATATTTAAAACCTTTTTATTGGTAAATCTCATATATATTTCAAACTTTAACTTATCAAAGATGGGTATCTATTAAAGTATGTAGAACTGCATACAATATGATAACGATATCTAATAATTATATATTGATACTTTTATATCACTTTAACACGCCGGAGAGACTAGCCGCGAGATTAGTGTATATTCACTTTCTCGCAACAGTTAAGCAACTATTTCTCCGGTCACATCGTAGATGGGTAACCACTGGCAGGTTCCACCATGAGACGTGTCGCCATGGGGCTTAGTCAACTAGTGTTTAACCATCGACCACGTGAAGGCTGTTGGTGAATGGGAAAGTAGTAGGACCTTCAAATGGTGGTACAATAAGCCACAGGCTGCAGTGCCGCCAAGCTAAAGACGGATTAGGATGATAGCACGGGGGGTCCGAAAGATGTAAAACTGAAGAAAAACACAATACAGTGTCTGCAAATTTTATCAACGTCATATATTTTGCAATAAAAGGGCTTATTACGATTTATTTGAATGGCTAACTCCAATGATCGATGTTTAATTATGAAAATTACAATTTAACAATTTCTGGAATAAATTTACAGTTGAGATTAAAATCTAAATAATATATTTTGTTATAAATTAAAAATATTGAGTTTCGTTAGTGAAGAAGAAATTTTATTCCTTTAAATATATTTAAAATAGCAAGTAAATACGAACAATTTACAAGTCCAAAAAATTATATGAAGTTTTTTTTTTCGTCATTCCCAAGAGACAATCATGGACTTTTCCACGGTACGCTGTTAAACCTAAAAAATAATTACAAAAAAATAAACGTTAAATTGGAAAGATTCCCAATAGACCGAATCCCGCGAAATGAAGTATTGTGATTGATTATTCCAAATTTCATTACAAATGAAATACGGTTTTGTTGGACGAGAAACATTTGACTTTTTTTTTCGAATGAAACAAGCTTTTCAACTTTGAGTGCTTAGGGAGTAGATTTTTATTGTTAAAATTGAAAATCACAAAACATTTATTATAAGGGTGTGTTATAATACACCGCTTGACATAAAGTAGATAGTGGTTATTTGTTATAAGGGTGTCTCATAATACACCGCTTGACATAAAGTAGATAGTGGTTAACCTTCATCGGAGCAGTGGCGGTTGTGGTAATTTAAAATAAGTGTTCACTTTTTCCAAAAATTTTTTTTTTTTGAAAGTTTGGTTCAAAACTTTGTACAAGTGTAGTTATTATCATCATCATCATCATCATCATCAATATCATAGTATTTTCAAGCACTACTTCATGAATGAATAAATACATATTTGAATTATTGTAATATTTGTTTTGTTTTTATTAACTTTGAAAACCATCTATAAACATTATTAGTCAGTCAACTGACTTTTCTTCATGTTTTGAGATTATTTTTAAATATATATCAGGTTATGTAAAATGCTTGACATTGATTTTTGTGTAAAAAAATATTATTATATGAAACTTTTACCTATCATTTTTCAGTTTTTATTGTAATCAGAATCATTAGGCTTCATCCTCTTGTACAGCTTGATTTTCCAAAAATTTCAAGTTGTTTGTTTTTGAGTAAGGTCTAGTTTAAATATTTCAACCCCCCCTTAATCCCCCACACTTTTATTCAATTTTTTTTCACAATCAATAAGGCCTCACCTCCTTATAGAGCTTGATTTCTACTAAACATTTCTTGTTGATATTGCTTTTCATTTTTGATTTATGATTTTTTTTTAATTTTAACCCCCCTTAAACACCCATTTTTATTCATAATTTTTCCTCCTTATAGAGCTTGATTTTTTTTATATTTTAACCGCCCTCAACTCCCCAATTTATTCAGATTTTTTTCAGAATAAATAGGCTTTATCTCTTCTTACAGAGTTTCATTTTTACTAAACATTTCATGTTCATATCGCTTTTCGTTTTTAATTTAGCTTTTTTTTTAATTTCAACCTATATCTTAACCCCTTATTTTCAATCAAATTTTTTCAAAAACACTAGGCTTTGTCTCCTTATAGAGCTTGTTTTTGTTTAAAATTATCAAGTTTATATAATTTTTCGTTTTAAACTTATCGTGTAGAAAAAAAACTGTGACATCGGACAAAGTAAACCTTTACTACTGTGTGAAGAGTATAATATAATCGAGGCTAAAACAATAACATAAAAGCCTAAAAAATAGGTACACTGCAAGAATGAAAAAGTCAAAGTTTTGAAAATTATTTAAAAGGTATATCAATACTTAAAAGATAAACTGCGCTGTCATTCTAGTCAACTTTTTAGTAGAGCAGACTGAATGTTGGTTGGACACTTTTCGTATTCCATATTTATATATAATAATTATACTTCGACAAGAAATGCAGTTAGCCCCAATTATTTTCACAATATGTATTGTTTACTAATAATCTCTCTATTAAAACTTTTTTTTTAATATATATGAATTGTTGATTTTTGTAACATATTTCTTCTGAGTTTCTGTGGCATATACCTCCAACATGCCTCTATAAATAGTACGGCTAACAGGAGAGTTGTTTAATGTTTAACTTGTAAGTTTATTAAAAATTGAACAATTGAACATAGTGTTATCTTTTTTTAAGTCAACATTAATTGTGACATCACTATGCATGGTATAGAATAGCCCTAAAAAGGTCTCGATGAACCGATGTTAAAAATATAACCTTTATAAAACTAGACTATGTCGACATAATTCAGTTTACCTCCCAAGTAGATATCGGTAAATATTTAATTTAGTCTTCATGATATAGGTAGATACCTAACATAGACACAACTATTAAGTATTTATATTTTATATCGTCTTTAAAAAAACTAATTTAAGTTTATAAAATCCTCAACGCTATATCAGTCTGACACTGTCAGTACCTCTAGCATTTATAGATAGAGCATTTTTCTGCAACTTCAAATTCATTTGGTACAACCTACAAAATAAACATTTATTCATATAAAATTATATTACGGTCAAGAAATAATTCTTGTTTAAAGGTCGATCTTTTCGCCTCTCAGTAACAATACACATATGTTTACTTATTAGCCCTATGGTTTAAAAAAATTGTCATACTTTTTTGAAACCTCGTTTGTCTTTTGTTGGAAAAAAAAATTGTTCCATGCATAGTTAGGTATAAAACACATGACTATTCTGTAGACCCTGGACCAAAACACTAAATAATATCCGTAATTTTAAAATAAACAAACATAACCTCAAAAATAATAGTAATTTTGTTTACCTGAGACGTTTTTTGATAAAAATCGTTGAATTGACACATATACTTTCGATTTAATAAAGTCGCAGTTTTATATTAATTTTTAATAAATACAATACATAATTAAAATTCTCATGTTGATTTTCAGAATTTGACAGCTTGATTGGAAAGTAATATTTTGTCATATGACATATTTTGATCAATTTTAAGTTATTTATTTTATATTTAAGGATTGACGGAATAAAAATGTTTTTATATCATTGAATCACGGTATTTTTAAAAAAATGGCATTTATTATCACCAAAACTGACTATCTCGAAATTGACATATGTCGTAAAAAGGCAATGCAAAACGGCAGACACTTTTAGTACCATTATTGCATCTCTATATCTATGATTTAAAAGATTCGTATGTCATGCCCTACTTTGTGACGTCACTGTGTGAGTTGCGCAAAATAAAGTGATTTTAGTGAGTTTAAGCAGGTCACTGTTTGTTTCACGGATCTGTTAACGAGTTGACATCTCTTTTTAGCTAGAGGCTTTCGAGAAATCATTTTACTCCCTCGAGCTTACTCATAAAAGTAAGCCAAAGAAAGCGATTAGTCATAGCGCAGTGACGTGTCAAAAATAGAGATTAACACGTATGAAAACAATAAAATTATTAAAATTGAATTTATATTTTTGTAATTAATTTTAAAATAATATATTTTTATAAAATGTAACTGGGTGTTCACGGCACAAATGGACAAAATTATGAAATAGTTTTTCTTAAAAAAATAGTCTAATCTCTGCAAAACCATAAACTAAGGAGGAAATGGCATCAGACTTGAGCTCCATTAAATAAAACACTCGTAAAACGGCTTTTGTTAAGAATTCAATAAAATTGAAATATGAGGTCAATGAAAATCTATTTTATGTAAATAAAAAAAATTAAATTTTTTGACCATCTGTGAAACGAGATATTAACAATCAAAATGTGCATAATTAATACTCTTGAATCCTCTCATGTACACAAGTAATGCATTTATTTCCAGATATCTCGAAAACTGTTCTTACCATATTTTTTAAAAACTAATGTAATGTAAATCAAGAAGTTATAAAATTTTCT